CTAATACCAATCTTTTAAAATATATGCGTTAATATAATAATTAATATTTAAATATATCAACTTAACTTATTGATAATATTTTATATTGGTGTTAATTACACTTGCGGTAGAAAAATACGAAAAAGTTTGTGCGCGAAGCCAGTTTTTCACAGCTGCCGTTAGTACCGAGTTGTGTCCATAGTCGTTCCGACCTTAGTAGGTCCGGCCCCTACCCGGTCCGGCCCCGTATTCTTAGTCGTTTCGGCCTCATATATTATATATATGATTCATGTTTATTTGGAATTAAATTTTAAATAAAATTTATTTATATAATGGATAATTCATGTTACTCATTCAAAGAAATAAAATCAAAAATTAAAAAATACTTCACATTGTACATTTGTTGTCTTTTCATTTTACATGTTGTCTAAAACAAAATACACTTGTGTAAACATACGGAGTAAGATTGCTATTTAAGACACATTACAATCACTGTCTTTTGTTTATCTTATTACTTCGTGCGTTGGAAACTGTATGGCTTCTAGCAAACGCTGTGTAATCACCATGGGTGTATAGTCTAATCTAATTCCGTGGTCTACCGACGTTGTTTTTACTTTAAGTTGATGAAAGACGTTGATTTTTTTTTGTCATCACATCTTATTAAAATCGATCTTCCAAGTGTGAAGATGCAAATTTGTATGCTCTCAACTAAACTATTACCATTAAGTAATGACTATTACCATTATATATATTAGTTATAATTATAATGTATATGTTAGTTATAATTGTTAGATATATTTTGTCAGTTATAATTGTTAGATATATTTTGTCATTAAGTATATATTTTAGTAAAAAGTATTAGAGTATATTTTATCAAACCGTACATGTTAGTTATAATTGTTAGATATATTTTGTCATTAAGTATATATTTTAGTTATAAGTATTTAAACTCCCGTCTTCCGTATTGTTGATTGCATTATTTAAGGAATGATTTTTATTTTTTCAACATTTATGAGGTCATAACAACAATGGGTTTATGGACATATTGAATGAATCGCGTTAGCGATTCATGTAAAATATGTCCAAAAACCCATTGTTGTTATGACCTCATAAATGTTGAAAAAATAAATATCATTCCTTATATTTACATTGACGAATCCTTTCAGTGGATCGATATAACAACGAATAAAACAAATAAACAGGGTTTGTTCCTGCTTATACACGGGTGCAACGCAGTGGCGAGAACAGTGTTTTTTCGCGGGGAAATGTGACACTATCGTGAGAGATCTTAGCAACCGTCAACAACAATAACACAACAAAATGTAGTTCCATATTCAATGTTTATTTGTAGCACAGGACACGTGAATACGTGGATATTTCACAAAGCACAGTTCAATAATATTTTAAGATGTAAGAATTAAGCATCTAGGTCGGTCGTTCCGAGTGAGTAGTTTTTGTAGTGTATTACTACGCAGTGTGATCAGGTTACTATCAGTTCCCACGTGCTGAGATTCTATGAACACCTGTGTTATGCATTTATGAATGTAATTTTTGTCAATGGGTCTAAGCATACAGAATGTAAATATATTACAATATTACATAATGAACATATTAAATGTATCATGCTTTTTTTTGTCTTTTTAACCCGTACACTTGTACAAGTAACACAATGCAAAATGTAAAACTGTTACATCCAAATTTATGTAAACATTCGATCCATGCATAAAACATAGTTCAATGGTGATATGTGAAGAAAACACTATGGTGAGGCCGGAACGACTAAGGGACCGGAACGACTAAGGACGGACCGGGTAGGGGCCGGAACTACTAGGGGCTGGACCGGGAGAGGCCGGAACGACTTGATACGGTCCCGTAGTCTCTGACGTCGTGTCACATGGCTATGCAAAATGGCGACTGACAGAACACTTCCGTTGTTTCTTGCTGTAATATTTGGACTGATTATAGGTAAGATACACTAGGTACACCGCAAATTATTTACGAAATCGTATAACTTTGGGTGAGAAACACATAAACACCATCTAACATTGCAGAATACATGTTTATTTGCTCATGGTGGAATATCCGGCTCTGCAGAATCACGAACGACCTCTCTTGGCTCACAACACAGGAATTCATTGATTTGTAGACGTAAACTAAATTATTAGCGACGTTTTGTTGAAAGTGTATGTGTTGCTACAAGAAACACTGTGATAAATAATACTTTTTACATAGGAACAGGTTGATAGAACAATTTACTGATGTCGGAATTTTTAAGTTGAATATTGATCAATTTCTTTCTCGATCATAATCTTACTATTCTTAGACGCCGGGTCATGTGTCTTTCTGTCACTCGTAGGTGGTCTGTTGAGTTTTGAAGAGGAAGCGCAATATTGTTCCAGGAAATAATCTTTCAAACCGTTGAATATTGAAATCAGAAAAGTGAATAATACAAAGATCACTGATTTGCCTAAAATAGAAACAATAACGTTTTACATAACGAGGCCTATATGGTTATTGCCAGGTAAACGTATAAGGTGGCAGTACCCAGATCGGATCGGTACCCAAATCGGATCACTTTTTGCAAAAAATACTTATAAATAAATAAATGTGTCAACAAATCAGTTATAACAATGATGTTGTCTTAGAATAGATAGCCATGCACCATTTTTTGACAAATAATCAGTTTTTAAGTTCAAATAGTGCAAGAAAACGTAATTCAAACTCAAATGTGTCAATGTTTTGATTACGCTTTTAAAAAATGGCGCGTGCAACGACTATGCACTATATGTTTTGGGCTATAGGAATAAATTTACACTATAGAAATACTTTTTGTCACATAAATTATAAAGGTCATCATAAAATGTTAATATGCTGACAAAAAATATTCATTTGAAGAGTACGTATGATACTGCAAAATTCAAGCCGTGATCCGATTTGGGTCCCGACATTCGCAAAAACAGGAGACGCTGATTGGTGACTTCAGAGCGTTATATAAATATCTCAAGTGAGCCCCGTGTGCTAATTTCGTTTGTGAGAACACCCATCGATATTTTTCAATAATTTAATAAAATGATGGTTTGGTGATATCTGGCCCTTATACCAGACTTACACATTTTGACATAGTATGAAAACGTGGAATTCTCTGACACCGTTGGATAGAATCAATTTAGCCTTTATGATTTATCTGCTTTCACTTCTGCTTATAACTGATACATGATAGTACAGATGTAAATATTGCTTCACTTTTAGAAATCTGGAAAAAAACACCCAGTTACATTATCAATAGCATATTCAGTAAATAATTACAAGATTTTTAACACTGTATTGTTACTTTTGTACAGCAGGAGTTTTCTCCCAGGAATTAGTTGTGACACATGCTCCAAAGTATGTACACTTCCAAGAACAGTCAGAAAAACTACAGGCCAGTGATGTACCTAAAGTGATCTCTCACACCCTCGGACTTCCAGCAGAGGTAAGGGAACTAAAACTAATAAAATGTCTGCTGTGATCTCTCACACCCTCAGACTTCCAGCAGAGGTAAGGGAACTAAAACTTATACAATGTCTACTGTGATCTCTCACACCCTCGGACTTCCAGCAGAGGTAAGGGAACTAAAACTAATATAATGTCTACTGTACGTGATCTCTTACACCCTCGGACTTCCAGCATAGGTAAGGAAACTAAAACTTATACAATGTCTGCTGTATGTGATCTCTTACACCCTCGGACTTCCAGCATAGGTAAGGAAACTAAAACTTATACAATGTCTGCTGTGATCTCTCACACCCTCGGACTTCCAGTATAGGTAAGGAAACTAAAACTTATACAATGTCTGCTGTGATCTCTCACACCCTCGGACTTCCAGTATAGGTAAGGAAACTAAAACTTATACAATGTCTGCTGTGATCTCTCACACCCTCGGACTTCCAGCAGAGGTAAGGGAACTAAAAGTAATAAAATGTCTGCTGTGATCTCTCACGCCCTGGAACTTCCAGTAGAGATGAGGAAGTTAAAAGTTACTTATTGAAACATCTATAGTCATTTACACATCCACAGCGTTCCAGCAGGGGTAAGAAAATTGAAACTAATAAAATTTCAGCTTTGATATATCACAACCCTAGAATTCCAGCAGAGGTAAGGAAACTAAAATGTCTGCAGTGATTTCTCATGTCATCTCAACTAAACAAAACATTCTCTTGGTGTTAATGCAGAGGCCAGACAATTATATCTTACCAATAGAAATGTAATATATGTAATATTCTTACACCTTTGGTGTTACAGCAGAGGTAAAGAAAGGAAAATTTAGTAAATAAAACAAACATTCAATCAGGATTTTAAGTGATTTTTCCCTTTTCACAGGAGGTGTCATGGACTGGCATTAAACATGGATCATTGTTTAAGCGACCCAAAGCCAATGTTCTTATCTCCGTGACAGGATACGAGGGCATCAAACAGAATCCTCTCAAACTAAAGAATGTGGCCACGTATCCAGTCAAAAGTGTGAGTACTTTATATTATACGGTAATTTAGACAGGTCAGGCTGCAGATGCATGAGGGACTACGTTTCTGTCAGTTCATTGACTTACTTATATTGGCAGCCACTTTTATGTTAGAATGAAAAAGGAAGAACTATGTAGAAAGAATCTCTCGGGACTAAGTTTGGATGATAAAGTTTTATTTGTATAATTTCACACAAATATTTAAAAGAGTTTTACTACAGTTACTTTCATGGTACATGTATCAACATTTTACATAAACTGTTTGGTTTTCACTAAGACTCAGGTTATTATTAAGGAAGAAATATGTAGAAAGAATCTCTCGGGACTAAGTTTGGATGATAAAGTTTTATTTGTATAATTTCACTCAAATATTTAAAAGAGTTATTACAGTTACTTTCTTGGTACATGTATCAACATTTTACATAAACTGTTTGGTTTTCACTAAGACTCAGGTTATTATTGGCTTTTCAACACCGTAGAGACAGAATTAATATACACAACATACAATGTACACTGTGGTGAATCAAGTCTTACCCAGTGATTGATATTGCTTTCTTTCCGACTTTGAACATGTTGTTTTAAATTTTTTAGGATGTGCCAAGTTTGGATATTGTTGGACTTATGAACAACCTACAGAACGCTTTCTTTGACAAGAACCCTCTTCTCTTGGATGCTGGAGTGGATAACAATGTAATTATACATAGTATTATATTTCATATTAAATCTGTTCTGTTAAAATCTGAAAACAATTTACATGCATTAGTCCTGGTTTAGCTGTGACCGAGTATAGTTGACAGTGTTTGGTTTTGAGTGTGCCGGTAACTTGGTAGTTACTATATATGCATTCCTGCTGTTTGTTTGTTTGTTTGATCCCTGATCAGGTATTAATATTCTTAAATGTCATTAGTCACCATGGGTGATATAGACATAAAAGATCAGGTCAAAAGATACCTTGAGTAGCAACCGTTTAAGGAGGGGTTCCAGTTGATTTAGGCAAATTTGTAAAGTATGTCAATAACACTGAAAACTGGCAGGATACTGTCTCTAAAAACTATAAAACATGTTAGTTCTGGTTGAACAGGAATAACTTTTTTTTTATACTTGGATGATAAAACAATTAAATCCTTCAAACATATTGAAATATTCTAACTTGTTTTTCTTTGTGACATTTTGAGAATGACTCACAAATGTTTTCTGTTTTTCAATTGTTGCAGTTTTTTGATGTGCACACAGACTTTGATGTATTCCGTAAGATCCCCGACACGATGCGCCATATGGCTGACAGGCTAATGGACTCCGACTCTATCCTCCAGTCTCTCACCACGGGAACACTCAACTCATCCTCTCCGACCCACCTCAAACTCATGGGCGAACTCCAGATGATCCAAGACGTCTTCAGCACTGTAATAGCATAACCTTAATACTCCTCTAGCAGATTGATTAAAAGAGTTCGTTTGTTGAAAAAAAAGACAGACTAGTTTTCCACAGTTGTTTAACTTAGAAATAGGGATAGACTTGTTAGATATATGCTTTGGGAGGTCATTGACCAAGTACTTTAATTTTCTGCTAAGAATTTGTCGAACACTTTTTGATTGGCTAAATAATTAACAGCTGATTGTTAACTTCAGGTTGATTGGCTAGAACATTAACAGCTGATTGTTAACTTCAGGTATTCTAGTATTCCAAAACCTTTTTTGTCTGAAGTTTGGTTTTTATCTGTAACATATTCTAGTCATAGTACCAGGTTTCGTTCTGATCCAATAAATGGTCCAGGTTTCATACACAAACTGTTTTACACCTTTATTTCTTCCTTTGAATCATAATTTTTCTTTTAATGAAATGCAGGTGTCTGATAAACCAGAGCTACTTTCTTCCAAATCACCAGACCTTCTGTCTTTCAACATTGGTGGTCTACAAGATGTCGCTGAAAAACATGGTGCTGAGTCGTCTGAGGCAGCCGATGCTTCAAACCTAGTCACAGACTTTATTCACAAGGTTAGTGTCTTGTGTCATTTTACAGTCAGATATCGTTTATCACAACTGTGGAATAACATTTTAAACGTGACTAAACAACCAACTCTTTGTTCATTCTGGTCCTTTTAAGTTTCTTGAGATCTTTAATTACAATTATCTTGAAAAAATATTTTTTATGAAAAGATTGTGACAGTGTAGTATTGTAAATTATATAAAGCAGTTTTATGAATGTGGAAAGAGTTTATATGTTAAAAATTGTAGCTGGATAAAATTTCTGTACAGTTCAACCTGTATAATAGGACACAATATTGGTCAGATTAGACTCAATGTTAAACAAATTTGGTCTCATTTGATAGTTTTTATATTAAAAAAATAAGATTGCAGCAATTATCTTTTATTAGAAAGGATGTCAAAGATTTTACTATACTTATAAGGCTCTGGAAGTGACAAATGTTCATGTTTTATGATCCTAATTTTCTGTATTTGTTAGATCACAGAGGACTTCCGTAACCTCTACAAGGACAATGTTGTAGTGGAAGTGTTGACCTTGACCCCACAAGGAGGCTACGTAAGGAAGGCCAGAAGTCTCAAGGCCACAGCTGTAAGTTTTAATTTATACATGTATCATGCTGAAGGATGGATATTTCCTAAAAAATAAAAGTAATATGCAAGAAAAGAACTTGAAAGAAGAGTTTTGTAGTATAATCTTTGACCTAATAAGTTCCCTATTCTTTATAAAATGTCCCCTTTCATTTATTTGGTCCAATGGTCAGAATTTACCCATATACCTAGAAAGGTCTCTCCCACAACCACTGTAGGTTTCCTCATTCCCAACTCGCTGGGTAAACCTGCTAGGACTAAGGAGTTGGTTTGGTTACCCACTAGTAAGTTACACCCTGGATGTTATTTCATTGTTCAATCTTCTAATTATGACATCAAGAAACAAGGCTTTTCATTGTCATCTTCCATTGTGACATCATGATTCATAGTAACTATTCGCCCATCAGAAACGGACATTAAGTATTTGCCGATGAAATACGAGTGCTACAAGAGATAAACGTCCCGAAACTCTTGATGGCTGGTGATTATGCTTTATTAGGTCACCTGAGACAAAGTCTCAAGTGACCTATTCCGATCGCCTTTTGTCCGTCGTCGTCCGTCGTGCGTCTGTAAATAATTTACATTTTCGACTTCTCCTCCAAAACCCCTGAACCAACTTTAATGAAATTTTGCAAAAACCTTCCATGGCCAAAGGTCAACAAAAATAGTTGCCGGTTTGGTCCCAGGCCCCCAGGGGCCTGAGGGGCGGGGCCAAAAAGGGTCAAATTAACTGGTAGAATCAAATACTCTTCATAGATGGAAAGGTCTTCAGGTGCTTTACCAAAATTGTGAATTTCTTGACCCTGGGGTCTCACGTTTCCGCCTGGGGAGGGGGTAAACTTTACTATAGTTTATATAGGGAATCACATTTTGGACCAACATTTAATTAATTGCCATTGGAGGTAATTCAATTTAGGTTAGCTTTATCAGTATTGGATAGCAGTTTGATAGTATACACATATGAGCCCTGACTGACCCCCCGGGGCTGATGGGTGGGGCCAAAAAGGGTTGAATTGACTGAAATTTCCAAAATCTTCTTCTCAAAGACCCAGATATGGTAGAATCAACTTTAAACACTCTTCATAGATGGAAGGGTCTTAAGGTTTATGACCCTAGGGTCTCACGTTTACACCCAAGGGCTGTAGGGTGGGGCCCAAAGGAGTCAGTGTGCTAAAATTTCTTCATTTTCCTTGTTTAGAATCAGAGGTGCTAGTTTCAAATACTTTTTTGTCTTAAATCTGTATGCTAGATATTGAATAAGGGGGTTTAATTGATTTTTGTCACTTTGAATAATATTTCTGTACATGTTAAAAACAAAATCAACTCTCTGTATAAATATATCAGGTGACCGCTAAGGCCCATGGGCCTCTTGTATATCTAAGTCTCTATAATTTTCAATTTTTAAAGACATTCTGTAAACCTCCTCGTTGGGGAACCTATGTGTCCATTTTGGACATTTATGGAAAGTCTTTTGAAAAATCGGCAATCTTTTTAATATTCACAAGTTGCTTATAGTCCAAGGCTTTCAGTGAATATTGTTCAGACCAGGTCTGTAAATCAAGTAAAGACCTCACCTATATAGTATAAGTATGGTGTATCCAATTTTTTTGTTCACACTAAGTATACCCCACTGATTTCTTGATAGACATTTTGTACTGACTACTGTGTAATATTTTATTGACAGGAGGCGACAGGTGCTAGCTCGGAATTGAATTTATCCAAGGACTACGATCAAGACTACCCTAGCGTATTCAACATCATTCTGTGGTTTATGATCATCATGGCCATTGTGTTGTTTGCTGTCTGCTACGGCATGTGGAATATGGACCCTGGCCGAGACAGCATCATTTACAGGATGACCACCACACGTCTAAAGAAGGATTAAATCTTGTCGAGACCTCCATGTTTGATCGTCATAGCTATTTGTGTTTGTGGGTAAAGAGCCACAATATGTAAGGTGGTGTTTAAAGAGTTGAAGATATTTAATATCAATATTAAGATTAATATGGATTAATCCACTTTTTGACAATTAACTGGAGAAGGTAAAACTGTGAAATTCGATGAAAAATTGGAATTGAAGCCAGAAAATCTCCACCTTTAATCATATAGATTTTGCCAAAAAAATCACCACTGCTTCAGAAACTAATTTTATAAAATACATTTAACCGAACAACAGTCTGAATGTAAGATGGAAGAAAGTGAATTAGATTTAAACTGTAGATCAAACGATCATACTGATATTCCTTTGTAAAATGGTGGATATTTTTGCTTCAAACGTAGAGTGAATCTTGTATCTGTTTTCATATATGTTTACATGTATTTAGATAATGGTGTATCTAGTCGAGTCTTAACTGGACGTAACAAAGTACTATAGTTTGATTCAAAAAACGTTGCTATTTATTAACTAATATGAAGATGATTTCAATATATAAATTCATTGTTATAAGTTGTATCTAATTCTAGGTAAGTGGTTGCGTCGATCGTAGCTGTTTCTTTGATTGTGATGTGTATACAGTGTGTGGAGTGAATGAATGGTTATATAAATATTTACATTGATTTGTTTATCATTCCTGCTGTTTCAGTCCCTATCCCTTGTATAGCGTACTTTATATAAAATCCACCTGGTGTAGACGGAAGATGTTGTCATGTAACATTGAATTTTTATAATAATACAATCCTTAGAATTCCATTATCATTTTTCGGAGAATTTAGTTTGAAAATGTCAGTGATAATTAAGAAAACAGTTTTGACTGGTAATTAAATAATAATTAAACCCCCCAAAATTACATTCTTTGGAGAAATTTATATCACAAAATCAGTGAAAATTATGAAAACAGATGTGGTTGACTTACAAAATTCATTGTTTCAAGTACACATCTTCTGACTGCGCTGACTTTGTGAAGCTGACGATGTGATAGAGTGCTAGTACAGGAGAGTCCATCTCGCTGTGTATGTGTGTGTACATGTGTGTATATGTAAATGATTATATATTAATTAGCAGTCATTATCGTACTAATGGACCATTCATTGTATGTCATAGTATTTTGTAAGTCATTACACAAAGTTATGAATAATTGTATGAAAACATGTTACTTGCCCCTTGATAGCTTGATGTATGTAAACTTTAAATTGTTGTAGATTACAGCAACTTAGAATTAAACCCCCATTGCTGTTCCTTTCTATTTGAGTTAAAATCACTTGAAACACGATGGCAAAGACTTCTGTCTCTGCAGCATATTATTTAAAAAACGGGACATGCACTTTTGGTATCAGTTAATAAACTTACAAAATTTTACACATGTGGAAAGCTTAGAACCTCAAATCCTTGTAGACTAAAATTTTGAATCAAAGTACAGTGTACACAAAAGTTGTTTTTACCATAATTTAAAAAGTATTATGTAATACGAAAGTTGATTTTTGTAATGCTTACCTCCAGAAATATTAATAATTTGTAGCAACACACCTGTACCTATAAACCAGAAATTGTATCGAAGATAAATATTCTGTGCACAGGGTAATTTTTGTAAGTACATGTAGTAGTGTTGTTTTCATGGCAGATATATTTTCACAATAAATGATAAATGTGCAAGTTCAGCTAGACTGTGGACTTCTCTAGCAAGTTAACATTACATTCACAGCAGTTTCCTAATAACTGCAATTTCAGCGTTGTACAAATTTTACTTAGTCTTTTGACACGATTGGTAACGCAAGTGTGAGATGTCAAAAGAGTGTACATACTGCATTGTGCTGGGGATCTATACCCGATATCTGTGGTCGACATTCCTCCCTTATGTAATCTGCATTTAGATGTGCATACCATTCCTCTAGTCTATCAAATGGACTATTAACACATTTCTGTGATATATTTTACGACTGCATGCATTGTATAAGGCTTCCATTCTCTGATGGTTTCAAACTTTGAGTTAGAGGTTGTCAAATTACATACAAAAAAGATCCATTTTGAGCGAATTTCCTGAACGTTTCATACATCTTAATTTTTCATCATAGATCAATACATGTACATTCATATCTATCCACTGTATTGAGTTTTTCTTCTAAAATGTAACAAAGCGGAAAGTTGAGCTGGTAGTCCAGAAAATTACATGTACACTGTAGGCAGGCTTGTATGGAGAGTAAAGTTGTTTCAGATTGAGGGTATGTAGTGGAGAGTATTAAGGAAATTATATGACAGTTTATAGTATTGATCTCTATTGTAATACATGTATGTGTATCAATTATATAAGCTGCCATCATGGTCGTCTGAAAAGGCATGCTTCCCGAACACTGATAGTGATCAGGACGGAGTTGAAAGAAGTTCATTCGCTAGTGATCAGGACGGAGTTGAAAGAAGTTCATTCGCTAGTGATCAGGACGGAGTTGAAAGAAGTTTCTTTCGCTAATGATACTTTTAGATCAAACTTGATTTTTTGAGGATTTGAGCATTTTTGTGAACAAGAATTATAGAAGGATATTCGTTTTGAGTCCCAGGAAATCAATATTTTGTTTTTAGTTTTTTTAATTATCAAATATCTGAAATTCAAATTTGCATTAACTAGAATGTCATTACCGGGTAAACTAATGGTGCTCAACCCAACTAACTTTATGAACTCGTCATGGTAATTGTACGTTGTTGTTACTCGGATCTATTCATTTCCATGGATTCAGAATGATTCACCCAAGACAAAAACTTGAGAAGAAAACACTTGCATGTTTAAAACAATATGGGTAAATTTATATTTGAAAATTTTGGACAATTAAGTCTGATACACCGAAGTCAGGACCTAATTCCTTTCAAGATTTTCTAAAGCGAAAATGTCCAGACTAACGAGGGTTCATTGAATTGTATCTAAATATAGATAATTATTATAACATTTAAGCATTTTTATGATATTCTGATTTAATATTTGCTTGTAATTTATATATATAATGTGATAATTTTTTTGTTTTTATTATTCGAGTTTATTTTGGTCCACTCATTCCCATACTTGAAAGTAAACTTAGTCTTCTTTTTCTTGTTTCAAATGCAAGAAAATTACCATTGTTGTACATCAGTGTGTGGTGACAACAGTACCAAATAAATATTAAATGACATTTTACCAGTGTAGATGAATGTTAAGATATTCTCATCCAGTAACCAGGAACAAATGTATCCCTATATATGTTTAAACTAGATCATTGTCTCATTTTCTTGCATATCACGAGATATTAAATTGCACTTATGTATGTACATTGGTGGGTAGATTTATCATGATAATAAATCCAGTATAAGGTACAATGTTTGTCTTGTTTTACTTTGCTACATTAGATCCTGTCATACACTGTGAGTTGTGTAAACTGAACACAAGACTTTGATTTGTTTGTGTTTTACGTCCTATTAACAGCTATAGTCATTTAAGGACATGCCAGGTTTAGGTGGTGGAGGAAAGCTGTAGTTCCCAGAGAAAAATCATCGACCAACCGCGTCCGCCAGTACCTGGCGACTGCCCCTCGAACCAGTGGTCAGACAGATGCCTTAACCACTGCAAACACAAATCACAGGTGTTTATATACATATACTTACATTTTTTTTCGATGAACAGGTAAATTTACACAGAAAAAGGTTACATGCTTCTAGATTGTACAAACGTTTAAAATTTAAAAAAGATTTATTTTTACTACAATTACTACAAGTTTTTTTCCAATTTGTTTAAGAACGCATGGGGTTTTCATGTTGGAGAAAGGCAGAATACCCAAAGAAAATTCACATGGTGAACTGATACATTTTCATCCTTAGCTGTCTTGGTGAAAGTCAAGTGTGCTATCCACTACCTCCCGACCACCAGAAATGGCTACGCTAGAATCAGTGGAGGCTTTGCTTTACAGGTTTCTCTATCTCAGAAACACTGATTTAATGGCAGCAGCTGATAAGCATATGTCCATTTACCGCAGGTCATTAACTAGGAAAAGATGACATGTGCTGCACAGTCAACAAATATACAAGAAGAACGACCAATTTTCAATTTCTGACATTCAACTGCTATGTTCAGAAATTCTAAAATATTTTTTGAATTAAAAGAAAATTTTGATATAATGAACTGTAACATAGCTGTACAACTCGCATATCAATTAGCAAAGTGAATTACTTTAAACATGTTCCTACATGACCTGACCATTTTTAAGTTGATCACTCATTGTGGCTAAAAGAAGTTCCACAACTTGTGACCATTATCAATCTAAACTTTAGTTTTGTTTTTTAAATTTGATAAGGAACTAATGAGATAAATAAAGTCATTGTAGAATCTATTCAACTCGTAATAACCATCAAAAAGAATAAATAATTTTGATTTATGCAGATTTTCATTTTATTGAGGCATGAGACAGTGAAATCACTTACGAGGTACACATACATATATATTAATTCTGATTATCATATAAAATATTGACACTGAGCAAATTGAGTTAAATGTACAGGTATATAGAGGATTTACCAACGAGCGATGGTTGGCTATGGTGTTTATCTTACTCTATTTAGTTAATTTTAAAATTTATAAAGACACGAGATATACCAATTGCAAGTGTCTTTTTACAATTAAAAAATTAACTTACGAGGGTTAGAGAACCATGATAATTAACCATCACATGTGTTTGGGGACTTTTCTTAAAAATGTTCAGATTTTACATATAGGAAATCGTTTGTTTGTCTTGGGGAAAACATTATTCCTGTTTCATATCGGGGAAACAATTGTCACGAATTGGTGATGTCACAATGGAAGATAGTCTATATTGTACATGTTAATAGAGGTCAAACAATTGTTAAATTACTATAGTTTCATCATTCAATATTAAAGATTGATTTTAAAGTTAAATTGTTGGTGTTGAAGTTACATAAGATAAGCAGGACTCGGAAAACATTTCCAACTTATTTTTCAAACATTTTTGGCATATAATTGATAACAAGTTAACATTTTCAACATCTTAAAATTGGAATAGAAATTTAAAGTTTCGATGTATTATATAATTCAATGAATTGAATATACAACAGTTAATATTTGTTCTATTCCACAGAAGCATGAACAGTGGCTGTTATTTAGTTGTAAAGCACGAGTCTAACTCTCAACCCTCCAGTCCATTCAAGTTGGTTTCTCATGGTTTCTAGTAGTTTATAGCACCTGCTAATTTCCTCTCAATTTCTCTTGTCTTTTTAAAGACATTTTTCCTGATATTTTCAACTGAATCAGACTGGTCATTGTACCAGAAACATCAATACTATGGAAAAAGTCTAAGACTTCAAGACTTCAGTCAAAAGTTTGATGAAAAAAATGTTTCTCTTGGAAATATGGTCCGTATTTGGTGAAATAATATATAGGTATCTACATCATTTTCTACCTACATATACAAGGACATGCACACTTTTTGATACAGAACATAAAATTAATGGAAATTTGGAGTGAAGTCTATATTTCAAATAAAAAATCCTTAATTACCAAGGTGATACAAGTGCATTTTATTATTAGCAATAATTAATCACAATTTTGCAAAATATGGATCTCTGATCCAATAATATTTGTTCTTGTCAAAAATGGCAAAATGGTACTACAATATGTATTCTTTCCAGCACAAGATTGTACAAAAACTAGTTATCATATACAGCACAAGATTGTACCAAAACTAGTTATCATATATAGCACAAGATTGTACCAAAACTAGTTATCATATACAGCACAAGATTGTACCAAAACTAGTTATCATATACAGCACAATGATTGATTTTACAATTTCAAAAGGAATTCAGATTAAAATTTCAACATTCATCGAAGATGCAGTTGCAACTTTTTAACTGATATTAAAAACATCGTATTTCTAATACAGCAACACCACTCATTCATCAACATAATTTAAGTAATTATTATCGAAAAATTCACTGCACCACAAAAGCAGAAATAAAATGAACACTGAATCATTCCCATATGGAGACATACTTGACAAGGTTACTAGCATTTTCAACAACATTTAAAACTTAATCATTCTGAAAGCACCATACATATCGTGTAGTGTGTTAACTACCACACTGGTTCACGACAGACATTTACTAAACTGATTCGCAGTATAAGTGGTCCTTCGGGTATTAAACAGTACCAAGCTTTCTCTATAACCGACACCCAGCATCACAATAATATCACTGGGTACTTCGTACTATAAATTGATCTTTATTGATAAGCACTGAATTTCGCTGTCCTGAAAAAAATATGATATGTTCTTAATGAAGATTTTTTAAAGTCAGCGAGGTAGGAAAATCTTGGTATTTTATCGTTATTGATGTAAACAAAAACTTTGTCTCCATTTGTGTTTTTATAACAAGCAAGAAATTGTTTAATCAAACTCGAAAACATTATACTGTAGTCCCAATCTTTAGATATGTCCTCTCAAACATCACATCATATTAATATCAAATTCTATTTGAAATTAATTTCTCATGGCCCCACTGGTTATATTTGTGTTAGGCAGTATTATTTCGAAGTTTATACGTTAACATGGAAAGGTATCTGCAGGGTTATTTTACACTTACGAATATATGATCCGCATCATTTTCTCTGCAGGTAAAAGTGACTATTCCAAATGTATCATCAGTCTCCTAGCTCATGACAACTACAACTTCGTGAAACATTCCGTGAATGTAGTCATAAATACTAACACGCAGCAAAAGTATTTACATTGCTGTTTGAGATTTTCATGTTCATTGATAAAGATATGTCTCTTTAAATGATATCAATTCACAGTCAAACATCTGATCCGAGTAATCTGGGTACAGGTGCTTCGACACCAATGAGGAAGAAAATTATGTTCATACATACCACCACATATATTCCTCAAATGGAATAAAAGACTCTTCATAATTGATAACAAGCATTAAAATTGACAAATATTCTCATTGTTTTTTTCTTCATGTTTTTCACTTATTCAACACTTAATAAAAATAAAATAAAAACAAACATAAGTGGGTAAAGGCTACTAAGTGGTTTGTTATGTCCTCTGTACACTGGGTCTAGCTCTAATGTGAACACAAATTATAATTGTGTAGACAAATCAGACTTATGGCAACAAGATGATGGTTATATATATACATGGTATACACATGAGGTAAAACGCTAAAAACAAATATCTAACAAAAATTAAGTAAAACGATCTTTAATAACAATATTCAGATGCCCTAATGTTGATATCAACTTACCAAGACCACTGATGAGAGGTAGAAACAAAACTTCTATCAATCTATATACAGTGTACAGTAAAATTTAAATTCTGTCTGTAACTATTATTTTTCACACAAGATTAAGTACACGCAGTTGTAAGTAGGTAAACCTCAGTAAGTTTGTGACAGGCTATGGACGCAGCGATCTAAAGAAATAGTCAGTAACCTGTATAAATATTCCATCTTTTAATTCACTAAAACAGATATTTAAACACTGAATATATTTAAAATCTAGGTTAATATTTTTCAAAAAATGCAACTTGATCCAGACACTCGTGAAGTATTAATATTTAAAATATGATAACCACAAATTCATTTAAAATAAAAATGAATGGCTTGTGCATGATTAATGATATTTGCAGACACATGGGAAATTGTCTAAAACGAGCAGGCCTGGCCCTATCACCTTGTAACTATAACACTTATTTGTTAATAAATTGTTCTTTACCTTGGACTCCATTGTCTTCGCAAAAAATGGTTGGACCCCTTTGACACAATTTGTTGGTACAAATGTATACATAAAACGGGTATACAAAAAGGAACAGCAGACACCTGTCTTTATGTTCTCACGACCAGGACCCGTGCCACTATAAAAAGTGTTCATTAATAAATAATCAAAGACGGTTTTTTTCATCAATGGGACTTTGTGAATCATAACAATTAAAAAGATATTTGTAACAAATGATGAAAATAAAAAATGATGAAATAATTTGGATTTCATCAACTACAAAAATGTACTAGACATATATCAATTAAATTCACTATTAAAAAAACATAATTAAATTGTTAAATCACTTCCACAATAATGTAGACAACATTCCACAATAAACTGGTCAAAGACACATCTATTTTTTTTACACTGTGGTGAAACCTGTCTAATCCGACACCTTGAGTGATCTAGCACTTTGTTTGGTTTAGACAATTTTAGTAATGTCGGTATTCTCAGGCTTCACTTTACATTTATATCATATTAATCAGGTCATTCTGCAATCAGAAGGAAAGCTATTTTTTCCTCAATGATGGGGTCTTTGAGATATGTAATTATAAAAGGAAACAAGAGGCCCTAGGGCCTTAGCGGTCACCTGAGTTATATCATAGATACTGGTAGCTTTATTTTATTGTTTAGATGTGATGTGGAAATCAGCATGTAAACTAAGTGAAATACAATACTTGTCATGTCATCAATGGATAAGAATTTGAAAATATTGGTAAATGTTCCCTTTGGGGCCCCGCCCTAGCCCCTGGGGATGGGGCAGGAATCCTAATTTTACAAAGTAAAACTCTCATTTACCCAAGATGATTCTGACTAAGTTTGAGCAATTTTCTGCTGAAAATGGATAAAATATATACCGAAAAGTGTTATTTCCCTATATAAACTATATTAAACGTTAACCCCTCCCCAAGGGAGAACGGATAGCTCGGGGTCCTGATATTTTCAATTTAAATAAAGCCCCTGATGATCTTTCTTTCCACGTAAAGAAAATCACTGTAGTACCTCTGAGTCTGGAGAAGAAGATTTTTGAAATATTGGATAATTTTCCCTTTGGGGCCCCGCCCTGGCCCCAGGGGTTGGGGTAGGAATCCCAATTTTACAATTTTGAAGCCTCATCTACCAAGGATGATTCTGACCAAGTTTGAAAAAAATCCATCCACTGGTTCTTGAGAAGAAGTTGAAAATGTAAAAGTTTACGCACGACGCACGACGGACGACGGACGACGACGGACGAAAAGCGATTGGAATAGGTCACTTGAGCAAAGCTCAGGTGACCTAAAAAAGATAGATCCAAGAAAGCTTCAAATTAAAATTTGTTCCCTTTTTTATGGATATGTAATTAGGATGTCTTGTGTGAACTACATCAAAACATGACAACCACGTTTACCCGACAATAAGCCCATGTTTGGTAATAAGCCCGCCACAATCTACTGCAGTTCGGTAGTCCTGTAATGCCCAGAACATGCTATTTCAATGTCCTGTAATTAGCCCACTTACCCTAAGTAAGAGACTTTGTGGTGCCTATTGCAGGATTAATACGGTATTGTCTAAGTCATTTTAATTGTACAGTTAAATAAAATATTACTGTTATTAAGTCCAAGTTGCTGAAGAAAGAACCATCCTGCAGGATAAATATATATCCTGTTAGTTATAGACCAAAAAAAGTCTCATAAATAAGGCTGACACTTATCACCGTGTATATTAAAAGGATTCTTTTCATTTAAAAAACAACAAAAAAAACTTACAGTATACTGGAATGACTAGATGGAATGAGGCAACAAAAAATATATCATATAAAAAAATACATGCACAATTTCTCTACTCTCATATAATCTATTTTGATAAAGATATGCAAAGCAAACTGAGAGCTTCCATCTTGAGTATTTTACTCTAAAATCTAAAATCATAATTTGTGTAGTAAATCTATACACAACACTTCTGTCTAAAAGACAACAGTATATACGCTTTACCTGTTAATTAGGTTCAATGCTATCACATCAGAACACCTTATGTCTGACTACCAGATATCCAAACTTTCAATAATTAGCACTTCTCTTGTGTCCTCCAACTATTGTTAACATTTTTAATCAATGTTTATATTTCAATTATATGGTGGCAAGCTTGTACCATCAGTGTGTGCGAAGGCCACAACATGCTAAATTACTTAACAAGATACAATCAAAACATGGTCATTAACAATAGGTGTCACCTTAGCAGTACAAATACCCTAAAACCTTGATAATAAGCCTCCATCGAAAATAAGCTAATAAGCTGGCTTTGAAAGTAAGCCGTCCTTAAAAATAGGTCTTGTATTCCAAATATTAACTAGAACTGTTAGAACTGTTAGCCAAAGGATAACTAATACCCCCGCTCCTATATAAACCAGAACTGTAACCTAAAGGCTTACTAAGGAAAAGCATTGCAAAGCAATCCAGTCTCCCACCAGTTTTGGAGGAGTTGTCCGAACAAGGATTTTCCAACAAAGGGCCATAACTTTTTTAGGGTTAAAATGAAAAAATAATACCCGGATGCACAACTTCAGGTGGTAGTAATCATATCTGGAAAGTTTCATTGAAAAGGATCCATAACTTTAGAAGGAGTTGTACCGGACAAAATATTTAAGGATTTTTTCAACAAAGGGCGATAACTTTGTAAAAAAAATGTCAGAATGAAAACATAATATCTGGATGCACAACTTCAGGTGGTGGTTATCATATCTGGAGAGTTTCGTTGAAATCGGCTATTACTTTAGAAGGAGTTATCTAAACAAAACAAATCTACGGAGGGGTGGAGACGCACGGACGAGCCGATTCTAGTATACCCCCTAACTTCTTGCAGGGGGTTTAATTATATCTTGAATTGATTTTTTGTAATGTCACACAACAGGTAAGTACAACAATTACAGTTCAAATCTATAAATTGAGATTTCTTGTGTTTCCGACAATTTCGATTTCTATCTATCAATACTCAATCCTAGGTCTGGCGATCGTAGGGATCTCACTCCAAGCCTTGAAAATAAGCCATATATGGCTTACTGTCGAAATATTTAAAAAATATGGTTGCCCTGAAAAACAGCTAGCTATGAAAATGGGCCTGCAAATCATAACCAAGTAGAAAAAAAGCCGAGACTTATTATCAGGTCTTAGGGCGCCAGGTATCATTTGTGCACTGTATTCAAAATAATCAAGTAATTAAAAAATGTATACCTGTTATGTTTAAATCTCACTGAAACAAACACATAACCGAAATACAAACTTGTCCTTTTGAAATAAATACTTGTTCCAATACTCCTCTCTACATCTACAATTTAAAATACATGATGTCTAAAGGGCCTGTGTGTTTACACTCACTGTGGCACATAAGCTATTATGACAAAATATTCTCATTTAAAAGATATATTGCAAAGAAGTCCCCATTTTGTATTCCACCATTCAGCATCTAGTGGCACAACACCCCTTCTTAATGTAACATTTGATTTCTTGGTCCCAAGGGTTCTTAGTAAGGTTTTAAAAACTTATGGCTGAAATTACCCGTTTTTGGCCCCAAGGGAGCTGCATTCCACTTCTAAACAACAAATAATTCCAAGGTACCTTGGACCAACCAAGCTTCACAGAAAATTTGGTTGATATCTGTATAAAGTGTAAAATATTGGGGAAACGCTTATTATTATAGTGAATATACTTAATATAAATCCCTAGAAGCAGGGCCAGACCTCAAGGCTAATCCTGACATAGCACGGTTTGCTTTATTATGCAAAACAAGCAAACAAATGACAATGGGGGGGGGGGTATCTCAAATGATTCAAAAGTGATTCAAGGACTAAAGCTACACATTTTAAGCAGATATAAGTTTATAGGGTAAAGTACCCATGTAACTTTGAAAGTTTGTCAAGGTCAGTTATCCATGATCCCAGGTACCTAATAGCCAAATGTGGACTGTAGGTGTTATGGAACTTCAAAACTTCCAAAAAAGAATTTAACCCCTTATAGCCAATGTTGGCCTGTGATCCCAGCCAAGCCAGTGCTTAAGGTTGACATTTGACCTCAACACAATAGCATATAAAAAGAATAGCATTGCTTGCCTACATCATGTAAAGCAAACATCATGGTTCAATATAAAAGCGAAACTTCATAACTCTTTAGACAATGCTGTTTGAAGTTTTCAACATACTTGACCCCTGTGACCTTCAAAGAAAGTCTAGGTCATTTATATGAGAACATGTACTACATCCCAGCTACTTACAGCCAAATATTGTGACCCTAGGTCTTGAAGTATTTAAGAAGAATCACTCTACCAACAAAAGTTGATAGAAAGACTATTGATGCCAAAACATACCATAAGCCATTTGGCACTTTGCGCCAGGTGAGCTAAACATTTATTGTGTCTAAGGCTCCATAAAAAATGTGTGATAAATGCTGAAAAATCTTCAAAAACTCAACAGTTAGAATATTATTTTTTCATCTAAACAAAAACAAAACTTAATAAAGCAAAATGACATTGAACCCCAGTTATATATAAGTTGTGGGTGAGATCTTGGTTGTATCACAAACGTAAATTGTATTTTGGATTTCTTTATCGGTTTGTTCAGATAAATATTCTGCAATATTGATGTGATGGTTATTCATTTTACTCCTTGCATACACTCCTCTCTCAGTGCCTTTATTTTTGCCTTTGGAAATGGTCCGAGTTCCGTAAAGCATTTCTGGAAAAGTAAAAGAAACATGCATTATAATCATCAAAATCAAGAAAAGGGATTATTTCTATTAACAATGCAAAGCTATTATACTATCACATCAAGATTAATATAGCAATAATTGTGCATTGTTAATTATTAGAAAATAAACGTATGTCTTCTTTAAACATCAATATGTCAGTCAATGCAGTCTTGTTTTTTCTACAAAGATTTTTTTGTTATTTCAATCAAAATCAGATATTAGTTTCAATTTATGGAAATACAGAGAGGGCACACAACAGGGGCTTTGTTGACACAAAAAATTACCATAAACATGTTCATAACTAGAAGTAAATATATTTTTCTTCAGAATATTGCAACCAGAATCATGTAAAATAACTGTGAAAATATACATAACAAGACAAAGTATTGCGAGCAATCAAAGTCCCTTACCTCCAGACAAACTTGGGCATATAAAAAAAACAACCAAAGAGCAAAAAAATCTTATCTACAGCAAGAATGAGATCTGACTTTAACATGTGAGACTAATAGAATCTTTCGCCCCCTTGATGGTGAGACAGGGTAATCTCAACCCGAGGGGTAAGATCCTTAAGTTGTCAAACACGAGGCTTGCCGAGTGTTTGACAGCTTAAGAATCTTACCCCGAGGGTTGAGATCACCCTGTCTCACTCCCAAGGGGGTGAATGATTATTTTTCTCTTACCCTGTTTGCCCTTGTATTTGATATAAACGTTACATCAATGCAAGACAATGTTGATGTGATGCGACTGAATTGTCGACGTGATGTCATTGTATTGTTGCCGTGACGTCATGGTATTGTTGCTATGACGTCAGACAATTGTTGAGAACGTGCAAAGAACATGTGTTGCTTGTCTCAACCCTAGGGTGGGATAAGAAAATCTCACACAGGTAAAATGGTGGATATCCCTGTCCAGGGTAAGAGACTCCACAATCCCAAGTGGTACAAAGTTAATTTGATAACTGTTCATTACAGAGTGTGTAAGGTTTGTCCAAAACAAGGCGATATAATAAACAAAGGGCAATAACTCTATCTACAGTGGGGAATGAAATCTGACTTGAACATTTGAGTCATTCCACAATCCCTAATGACACGTATGTAATTTGACAATTAGCATGAAATAGTGTATAAGGAATGTCCAAGACAAAGCGAATCTGTATGATGAACAATGGGCAATAACTCTACCTACAGTGGGGAATGAAATATGACTTTAACAATACAAACGTAATTTGACAATTATACATGAAATAGTGTATAAGGAATGTCCAAGATAAAGCAATAATTGCAAACTAAGGGAAATAACATATTTGGCAAAGGATCTGAATCTAGTAAGCATCCCAAGAGGTACAAATACAAAATTTTGGCAAATGTACATCGTTCATGCAAAGTGTATGAGATTGCCGGACAGACAATTTACCAATAGTCAATAAAGGGACATAACTCTTTTCACAATATGTCATGATACCCCATTTTTTACATGCAACAATTTGCAATGCCAGGAAATTAAGTGCCAAGAAACAAATAGGTGACTAAGAATACTAAATATGTCCCAGATATACTGACAGACTTACAGAGAACTGATGGACACAGTGTATCTATGGCAAGGAATTATAATTACAATAATCTACTAGGCTATACTCAAACATGACTCACGGTGACAAAAGATTATATTTCTTACCTGTAAAAAAGCATGGCAATCGGTTATCTTCGGATTATTAACAATTTGTTTAAAGAAGTCCATAGTCTCTGTGAAAGTTCGACATCTTAGAAACTGGTCCTTGTTTTGTATTATTAACATTGCCGCTACTCTTAAAAGAATCTTGTCTCCCTCATAGAACAAACAGTCCCAGATCCTTAATGTAGTCTGCAACAAAATAGAACGTCATATAGAGGAAACTTTCCTCCCACTGTAAACTGAAATGCAATCCTATAATTTTGAGTGATTATATTCAGTGACGGGCTGATGATCGATTATAATTGAAAATCAATTGGTTTGACCTTTCCGATTCCGATTATCGATTACAAATTCCCTTATTGATATAATTGGTTCTTCATTGAAATCAAAGTGTTAATGTTTTCAATGTAAAAAATGCATTGAAAGTCATATATGCTTATGAGATTTATTACATGATTGGTAAACCTGCATAAAAATTACTTGAAATCACTTCATAGTGAGCCACTCTGTCTATTGATGTAATAGTGGTGTTCTCACTTTATTTTGGTATCAAGTCCCATAAAATTAGAAACCGATTATGCAATTGTTCATTGATCAGTTTACTACTTCCAATTACAAACCAATTATCGATTATGATTTAAAACTGATTGTCCATCAATAATTATATTCTAATGCGACATAGAGGATGAGTGGGTCAAATGTAAAATAATAAAAAAATTTTATCTGGACTTCAGTTTTGGTCTATCCTTGATTAACAGTCCTGGTCCGAGTAACATTGACCTCAGCCTTAAGCCTATATGAAAACTGCTCAGACCAGGTTCGTAAATTACCGATAGACGCCAACGTAAGTCCATAATTCTATATTTTTTTGCACTCAGGGATTTTAAACCTTCCCTTTACAGATGTATAACATTTTGTGTGTGTATTCCTCAAAAAGTGTTCCACTTTATTAAATCATTAAAATAACATTAGTTAAGAAACCATATTTCCTACACTGTTTTATTTTTCTTCAAATCAAATTTAAAAATCTAATATCAACACTGTACACAATGCCATAAAAATAGGTATGTTTAAATTGGTTAGTGATTCAAATTCATGAATTGATAAGAATATCCCCACCTCAACTGGCATGACATCGGCGAAGAGACAGAGGAACCATTTGGTGGCAACCAAACACCACTGTATATCCATCTTCTTAAGGTGGGCGTGGAGATCTGGGGCCTTCCATCTGTAACACAGCAGTCTACTGGTAAGGTCAAAGCTTCTCACATTACATATCCTCTTTTATCACATAATGTACTGTTATCCAGTGAATATATACCCATGTAATATTTTTTTTGCGTATTAACCCATGTAATATGACCTATCAGCCCTGTGATTGGTTGTAAGTTTCAATTGTTTCAATTGTGACGTCACCCCTAAGACAAATACGTGACGTCACAGACTTACACACTGGAGTGAAAATGGCGGCTTTTTACATTTCAAGGTTGCATGAAAATTGTCGTTTTACACAAATCTTGATTATGTGATAAAAAGGATCTTACACTCGTTTTCATTTCATATGAAATTTATGAAACTCGTCACAAATTTTTCCTTTTAGCTCGCAAGTGGCTCACTTAATTGAAAAATTCTTAGACTCATTTCATAAATCTCATATGAAATGGAAACTCGTGTTAGATCTTACATGCATAATACAGATATTACAGTAAGTTCCAGTATTATTTTCATTTTAATATCGCAATATACACCTGCCTTGTATTTGAATTGCCATGACAACCTCCCTATAGGACATCTGTTCCGACATACCAAGGTGCTCGAGAAAGCGCACATGTATAAAAATACATGCAAGAAAATATGCAAGAAAATCATTCAAGTCCTCTTTCCTTAATAAACTTGTCAGCCTGGTAAAATATTAGCTGCTTTCTACGGACTTGGCTAGGGGAGAATTTATCAGAAGCTCATTCGGTAGAGTGCAAGACTAGTAAGCCATAGGTCCCGGGTATGACTCCTAGCGAAGGCATTGAAAAAGCCTGTTACATAGTTATAGTTGGACCTTAAGATCATTACTACAGTTTCAACTTTTTATTCCTTTAATTCACAAGTAACATATAAGTTGATCCTCCTTACATACATACTTAATTATTTCTCCTAACAGTTCTTGTTCTGCTTGTGTGGCTTTCATGTCTGGAGCATAAAAATCTGAAAATGACCAAATAAATAAATAAATTATTAATTAATTTGAATGCTCGTAAACGCCAAACGGGTACACGTATACTTGAAACATAACAGGTAGCAAGTTATACTACAGCAAACAGATCCCCTAGATTACCAGGTAATGGTGCAGATTTATTCTTTTCCATTGTGGTCATCACAATACCTCAAACCTGTTCATTAGGTGATTAAGGCCAAAACCTAAACAGGACCACAATTACAGCAATCTGATTTAATTTGATGTATGTGACAATATGGCATTAAAAAAGTATCAAAGAATTAATAAACCTTCATTCCATTTATTTATTTTTTTTCCTAGGGAAAAACAGCCCAAGTCTTATTTATTGGTAATGGATTAGAACAGACTTTAAATGGAAGAAAACCTACAGCTTTGCAAGTTGCTACTTAACAGTGTGATACAGCAGGCTTATTCTGAACCCATAGGGGTATCATTTGTTAGTATTCTTAGTCCTTCAAAGTTTATTGTTGATACAAATTAGAAGGCTGATATCGATTAAATAGCATGTCTTCTTAAAAATTACAAAATGATCAACATTGGTGCATGTAACATGGTGAATTATGTAACAAAAGTGAGGAAAAATTGGACAAAAATAATCAACTCTTACCAATGTGATAAAAAACAATCATATGTTTATTATTATATCTATTCTACTACGTCAAATGTAAGAAATGCATGATCTTGATATGGGGGCAAGTTTTGCAACAGCATCACACATGCATGAATTATAGGGCTGCAAGTGTGTTTTATTGTCTATACAATAATCCCTGGTTGTTGATCAATGAAAACATTTGTTACATCACGGACATGGTCAACTTCCTTATAACGTACCTGGCAGGATATCATTCATCAGTGTATCAAGCAACCAGAACACTTTCTCCTCATTTTTCACGATCAGAAGAAGTAAACCAGCCACAAAGTTGACACCCTACAAAGACATATCAGACTACCAATTAATATAGTAAACCAAGGGATAAATTAAATACCCCTACTCATCTATATGTGTGTGTGTTGTCCCTGAAGCAAATCATGGGAACAGTATGATAATTTATAGATTCCTCAAATCTATTTTCTATAACTAAGCAAGATTGGGTTTTATCCTACCCTGGTCAGTAGTATCAGCATTTTTATTGGTGTGAGATTTCCTTGTGTCACCCTAGGGTTGAGACGGGGGGATTCCCCTATTCATAACAATAGTATGACGTCGCTTAAACAATACAATGACGTCACGTCAATAATCTATCAACGTCAAGTCAACCCTGAATTTGGCATGTAATGTTATCATTACATTGTGTATATGATACACAATGGGAGAACAGGGTATACGTAAGAGAAAAAGAATCATTCACCCCCTTGTGGGAGATATATATAGGGGAATCTCAACCATTGGGGAAAGATTCTTAGGCCTGTCCCATCCTGATTCATTGTCATCACTCTATCGACTTCATTTCCTGAAACTAGGAAGGTTAACCACTGTCATATATATTTTTTTGTCACCTTAAACAGGGATCTGTAACATCCCTTATAGGTTCAGATGTTACAAGGAAATCTCGCACTGGTAAAAGTGCAGAAACACCTGTCCAGGGTATTAAGAGAAATGAATGGGACAGACTTAACTATATATGGGACAGGCTTAAATATATATGAGATAATGATGCCATGCTCATTTGCATTATGAAGTCATCAACACATGTTGGGTTTTTCATAATTGAACGAAAATTCTCAAAATTGATCATAGTTTTTTGTTAATTTAATATAAGAGTACACAAGACCTGATAATTTTTCCTACGAAATATATAATTTGGGTTATACTGTACACAGGGATGCTGGCCTGTGACGTTCTCTTTGTAGACAGTACACAGCTGGGACTTACCTGACAATAGCCCTGATCACTGTTCTTGTGGGAGAGAGCTATCAGAACGTTAAACAGGGGTCCTCTCAGATTACCGTTAGCACTAAAGTATATGTTGTCGGGGAACGTTCTATGGAGATCTGCAAAAACAATCAACCATTTAGATTATACAGTCAAACCTGCGCATTCAAAACTGAAATAACTCAAAATTCAGATAGATTTATAAGAACAGGCCCATTCAACTGTAAACATATCCTTACTGTGGTACAGCCTTCCGAATCACTCTGGTACTTTAATCAAGTATCTGATAGAAGATTTCCATATATATGAATCTCACACAAGCCATTCAGATTGATATGTCTCGCCTGTGTACTGCTTTGACCATCAAAGCACATATCGGTGAAATAAATTCAATGTAGACGACATGAAAATGATATGTCTTGTGCCTGGTCCAAGTTTGGCTGGTCTAGGGCTTATAGCTTCAACGCAATAACTTAATGTTGATGGAGATGCTGACAAAGTCAATGAACCATAAAAGGTAGGCCACATCCAGCATTTAATGCATGGGTGGAGATGTGCTACCTAAGATGCATCTTTGGTCGAAGTTTGGTTGGTCTAGCACTTATACTTTCAATGAAACTTACTTGCAAAAACTTAATGTTGACGCCACCGGAAAAGCAACACCTTAGTCTCGCTTCCACTACTTCGTCGCGGCGAGACAATAAAGATAAGTTTAACATATGGGTGACAGATAACTACCAAGCTTTGGCTTGTAACATGTATCCACAATAGAATAATACTGACCAATTGTGATGGCTTCCACAGTGGATTCATCATGCTGGCTTTTTAGGATGGTCTGGTACAGGAGAGGGCTGGAAGCCATACTTTCTTGAGCACCACTAACACACATCCATACCTACATCATAGACCATTACATACAGATAATGCCAGGTAATTCAAAGGTTTATATATAAGGGATGGGGGTTGGAAACGGACCCTGGGAGGAAATTGGGATATAATCACTCGCATAAGAAAATTTGGAAAATTGAGTGATCAATTCTTAACAACTCTGAAGTTATTAACCCTTTCACCCCTATGCAAGTTTAGTAGACTCTCCCATGTATTGATCTGGATAAGTCGATTATGGTCTACAGTGGTGAAAGGGTTAAGTAAGACTGTTCAACTTTTAATTAAGCCTATCTATATTACAACATGACCGTCCTGTCCTTCCTACATACGCTGAATTATGGAGAAATTTATCCGGATATATATTTATGGATGTTTTTTTTCAGATTTCACAATCGAGAGTTTTAAAGGGGTGAATTCGAAAAATAGAACATTTTTTCTATTGGGAGTACCCCTAGCTGCAAAAAAAATCACTCCCTGCCGTTTCAGTTTTGGTATTGTTGAAATGGAACAAAGACCATTGATTGGTTTTGAGAAGGGATTTTTTTTGTCAGAAGAAGACGGATGCGTTGAGACACACCGCTGAAAAGAATTAGGTGGTTTATTTTGGTGCGGGTGGGGGTGGGGGAGAGGTTTATTCCTATTAACAGCTATGGTCATTTAAGGACGTGCCAGGTGTTGTTGGTGGAGGAAAACGGGATTTCCCAGAGAAAACCACCGACCTATGGCCAGTACCTGGCAACTGCCCTACGTAGGCCTCAAACCCTCGACCCAGTGGTGGAGGGCTAGGTGAGGTAGCAGAATGTCAGACGCCCTAACTACTTGGCTACCACGGCCCCAAGGAATTAGGAGGAAAGAGAAAATAAAACCGTACTAAGTACAGGGAACAAACATCTTAAAACTTGCAGTTTCATTGAAAACTATTGTTCACTTTTTCGAGCAAATCAATTTTCATATGATAATTATTTTTAATAACAAATATTTGATTCAATCAAAATAAAGGAATTTTTTTTCCCGTTTAATCTGGTGGAAACAGAGCTTAATTAATTAAGAAACCCTTTACAAAAGGAAGAAAATATCTTACTTTGATAATACAGATACCAGGTATATGACATATATACAATCTGCCTATATCAGTTACACAACGGCCAAGGGGCAGATTGCTAGAAATAGGTATAATTAAATTAGTACTGCACACACTGGTCGAACCTTAGCCCTCTGTTGGGTAGTTGTATCAAATATAGTAAATCAATACAGAAAAATATATATATGGATTCCATAAACTATTTTCGTTCTTCATAGTAATTGGATCAATGTGTTATCTTCTTAATATCACAGGTGTGTTTCCCGTTTTAGCCGGGAAAGATCAGCTTGTCACCCCCTAGGGGGAGATAGCCTTGTGCCGATTAGCACGTGTTTGATTGTGACGTCATTAAAATGCGTCACCGGTAATTGTGACGTCAACAAAAATGAATAACGAAATTCATACCCCAAATGTGTTTTTATTTACACTACTATCGGTGGAGTTGTGACTGAAATATCGGTGGAGTTGTGACTGAAATAATAGGATGGGAGAAAAAAATTCATCCCCTACCTTGAGGGTGTGCCAGAGAAATCTCCTACCATCGGGGTGATTGTTTTGGTTGTCTAACCCTCGGCTCTATCACCCCTTGGGTTGGAGATTTCTCTATCACACCCTCAAGGTAGGGGAAGATTCTATTAATCTTTCTACAGTGAAACATTTTTAGAAATGATTTTTTTGTTTGTTTTTAATGTTTCTGTAATTTATATTCACATTTACATGCAATATTTATGTGTTTAACCCTTTTACCCCTATGTAACTTTAGTAGACTCTACCATGCTTTGATCTGGATGAGTCCAATATGGTCTACAGTGGTGAAAGGGTTAAAGGAAGAAGAGTGATTACTAACAAGAAATAAACCGTGGAATGTTAAAATGTAGGGCAGTTAAATTATTCAAGCACTATTCATTATACAGTAATTGTGTATATAGTCTAACTTACTATATAATATTCTGTACGATCAAATACAATTGTGCATTATATTAATATTACCATCTTTATTATAAACTTTGTATAATTCAAGTATTTACACACTAGTTATAGCTGCAAAGAAAAGTTCCATTTCAGACTAATTTATTTTCCAAACTATAAATATATAGGCAATGAAGCAATAAAAAGGACTTTTCTGGTTTCAGTTACTTCCCTTGTCAATGTATTTATCTCCATTTTGATGCTTTTTTTCTTTTTTCTTTTCTTTCTCAAATACATGCAATGAAATTTCAAACAACTATGATTCTGTATGATGCATCTCAAGATGTTATTTATAAATACAAAATACTTTTGTTGAAAATAACTCAATATGGTTCATGATACTGACAATGGTCTCCTAATACATTTAAATCTGATGGTACTTTTTATCTTAAATAGAATCTAAACATGTAGTGAACATTGTATGTCTGCACACTGTATTTAACTTTATTTTTATGTGTGTATAATTACCATTGGACGGTGCTCATTAGGGATCCCCTTCCTGCAGTATCGTTTCACTGAAAAGAGATAATTTATACAGTCACAAGTTTACAAATAAGGTTGATACAAGATTGCAATAATGTAGCTTTGATGATAAAGAAAGGAACATTGGACAGAGTATTAAATTCTTTTTATAAATACCCAGGTACTTTTTTTGTAGGTCAATTATATCTACAGCATAGGTGCACTGTGTCAGATATTGATGTAAATCAGTTCCTCTCACTTTTACTACCTGTACCCTGTAATAATGACCACTGATAGCAGGGCCAATAGATAACATAAACTCTTAAGAGTCAGAAACTGACCACTGACCACTAACAGCAGAGCCTATAGATAACATTAACTCTTAAGAGTCAGAAACTGACCACTAATAGCAGGGCAAATAGATAACACAAACTCTTAATAGTCAGAAACTGACCACTGACAGAAGAGCATATAGATAACATAAACTCTTTACAGTCAGAACCTGACCACTGACAGAAGAGCATATAGATAGCATAAACTCTTAAGAGTCAGAAACTGACCACTAACAGCATAGCCTATAGATAACATTAACTCTTAAGAGTCAGAAACTGACCACTGACAGCAGAGCCTATAGATAACATAAACTCTTTAGAGTCAGCAGAAACTGACCACTGACAGCAGAGTCTATAGATAACATAAACTCTTTCGAGCCAGCAGAAACTGACCACTAACAGCAGAGCCTATAGATAACATAAACTCTTTTGAGTCAGCAGAAACTTACCACTGACAGCAGGGCCAATAGATAACATAAACTCTTAAGAGTCAGAAACTGACCACTGACAGAAGAGCATATAGGTAACATAAACTCTTTACAGTCAGAACCTGACCACTGACAGCAGGGCCAATAGATAACATAAACTCTTGAGAGTCAGAAACTGACCACTGACAGCAGAGCCTATAGATAACATAAACTCTTTTGAGTCAGCAGAAACTTACCACTGACAGCAGGGCCAATAGATAACATAATCTCTTTACAGTCAGAACCTGACCACTGACAGCAGGGCCAATAGATAACATAATCTCTTTACAGTCAGAACCTGACCACTGACAGAAGAGCATATAGATAACATCAACTCTTTACAGTCAGAACCTGACCACTGACAGAAGAGCATATAGATAGCATAAACTCTTAAGAGTCAGAAACTGACCACTGACAGGAGAGCCTATAGATAACATTAACTCTTTTGAGTCAGCAGAAACTGACCACTGACAGCAGAGTCTATAGATAACATAAACTCTTTCGAGCCAGCAGAAACTGACCACTAACAGCAGAGCCTATAGATAACATAAACTCTTTAGAGTCAGCAGAAACTGACCACTGACAGCAGAGTCTATAGATAACATAACCTCTTTCGAGCCAGCAGAAACTGACCACTAACAGCAGAGCCTATAGATAACATAAACTCTTTAGAGTCAGCAGAAACTGGCCACTGACAGCAGGGCCAATAGATAACATAACCCCTTAAGAGTCAGAAACTGACCACTGACAGCAGAGCCTATAGATAACATACACTCTTTAGTGTCAGCAGAAACAGACCACTGACAGCAGGGCCAATAGATAACATAAACTCTTAAGAGTCAGAAACTGACCACTGACAGCAGAGCCTATAGATAACATAAACTCTTTAGAGTCAGAAACTGACCACTGACAGCAGGGCCAATATATAACATAAACGATAAACATTAATTAATCAAATCACCAATCTATTGGAATTGCTTGTCAACACATGAAATCCTCATTTGGCAGATTTACAAACACTATATAAAGTCACCTTCGTGGCAAGTTCAGGGGAACATTCTGACAGTGAGCTGGACAGGTTTTAAGTAGATCTAGAGGTTCAATAGGTTTTTTGATTGTCTGCTAGCAAATCTTCAATTACATCCAAAATTAAATGCAGTTAAATTAAATTAAGACAAGAGGCCCAGAGGGCCTGTATCGTTCACCTGTTTCTTTTGTTACATGCAACTGACATATAGGTAACTTTAGACCATTTGGTAACTAGAACACAAGACATTTTAACATCTCTTAAACGGTTCTGACGGTTCTGAAGATATTGTTGTTTAAGACTTAAAATTTTAATTTTAAAGCTTTTGACCAAAGTTGACATTTGAATCCCGATTTGCACTTAAAGTTGACCTTTGACCTCATTACTGTAATGGAGAAAACAATTCACACAGCTGGTCTACATAACATACCTAAGTATCATGATTACCGTAAAAACCCATGTAATTTGCACACCTGTGTAATTTGCGCAGGTACTTTTTGAGGCTGAAAATCGGGAAAAAAGCTTCTACTCGAATATTTTGCGCACCCAAAAAATCTGGGAAAAAAACGCTGTTCATGCTCCGAAAATCGATCTCTGAATATTTATTTTTTTAAATAAATTTCCATGATTTTTTTTTCATTGATGTAAAATGATATTTAAAACCAAGAAGAAGCTACGTAAAATGTGTATTTTGTTGCTTGTTTTCTTTGAATTATCTGATCACACATGACACACACGTGTGCGCATATCGGCATACATCAATTCATTTTAGCAATATTTTACATAAAACATTTACTTGCTTACAAAAACATATCAATTAATAAGTAATTCGATGTTTAGTAACCGCTGGTGCATATCTCCTGGTGAAAGACATAATTAGATACCTT